TATATATATATATATATATATATATATATATATATATATATAATGTTGATGAGTATAAAATGTGTTCTGCTTGTAATAATTTCTTAAATTAATTAAATTTACTGGAATTCTTATTAAATCTTTTTTGTTTTGTCAATAGTACAGTAATTTCCTTAAACACATAATGTATACATTTTGCTCAACTTCTGGATCAAAAATGAGCAGGACACAAGTTTTAACAAAATAAAACATTTTTTAGAATGTAGCTACCAGTATCCTAAGTTTTGGAAATGACACAAAAAAGCTCCATCTCTTAAAATGATTCACAAATTCCTCCATATTGTAAGGGCAAACCAATTTACTGCCATCAAGCCTGAATTCCATACATCCTATGCTTGTCTCCATTCTGTGAAATAAAGAGTTCTCTATGTCCTTGGGGAGGGCTCTTCGATATCCATGGATAAAATACTTAATTTCAAACAGTTTGTGATTTTATCTGGAATGTTATACTTTATAATGCCCTACCCTAACTTTCCATAGGCTATCTCTCATTTGAAGAATTAACTTATAACCCAAGAAAGTTACATAATTAAATCTCAACATCTAAAAAAGCAGTATAGCACAAAACAGCATGTATAATAAATAAACAACAAGGCATTACAGACGTCGACATCATGGTATTTGGTCTGACTAATTTCAGCTTTGGTCATTGCTCCACTCATCAAAATGTGATGCTTTTGAAACAAATCGGCCACAAAAGCCTAACTTGGATATAGTGTTAAAAATAAATAAAGACCAGATCTAAGAGTTCAACTTGACATAAAACACTGCATCTTAGGATGCTTTCCCAGAGATTTAGATCGATCTAAAGATTAAGTTTTAGATCGACCTAACTCCCTGGGGGTTCACGGTAAATTGCAGTCAGCCGAGCGGGCACCATAGTTAATTACCCTCTTACAGCTTTTAGTATACGGGACAGACGCTTAAGCCGGCCAAGCTGACAGTAATCTAGTGAGACTCCCCACAGGGATAGATCGATCTAAAAATCTATGGAAATGGGGTGTTAGAGCGTGTTCAGAACAGCAGACTAACAGATTTGTGGATCAAAAATGGCAACCTAATCAAAAGCTAGCTTCTTAATTCCCGATTAGACACTGAATAGATTCCCGTTGATATAATGCAACACATATTCAGATGGGTCAGCCATATTTGATCTGCAGGTCTGTTATTTTGCTGTTCTGAATGTGCTCTTAAATCATGTTTCAAACATAAACTGGAAAGAAAAACCCTCAAAGATGTCAGACCTCCTCCAATAATTAACTAATAATTAACCATTGATTAAATTAAAAGTTCTTCACCAAAATCTTATCACTTTTCAGATTGCCCATTTGTGACTTATCCTGAAAAATTCCATCAAAATCCATCATTTTTTGAGTTAGGATAGTGATTTACAGAAAAGGAATCAAAGGTGACGACATAATGGCTTCCTTGGTAGAGGTAATAAATATGTACATGCACCACAGAAAATCAATTTTTACAACTGTATGACTGTGTAAATTAATTATCTATGACAACATTATTTCTGTGACAATTTAGTAATCTCAAGTTAGACAAAAAGATAATTCTGATAAAATGTTTCAATTTTAGTGTGCCCTTTTACAGTATTTTTGCAAAAAATGTTACATGTTCACACTTAAAGGGATAATAACTCTTCGTATGAGATCTATATTTCACAATAAAAACATTGTGAATAACTCATAGAAATATAATATATTCTGTTTTACCACACAAACGGCAGTTACAGCTATTTTTCTGATATCTGAGCTGTCTTTAGACCACTTGACCTCCATTGATGGCAATACTCTGTTAAATAACAAAAAACCAAACTTTTTAGAAAAAAAAACAGAGACTAACTTTGAATGTAAAAATGGATTCATTAACCATTGGTAAGTATCGGAAAATTGTTGTTTACTCCAGGAAAATTCATTTTTTGGCCGAAATGAAGAGTTATTATCACTTTAACTGTCTGTGACATGTCACATTTCACGTGTGCGCAGTGACAGCATTTTTGTATAATTTGACCCGTTACAGGTAAATTAGTCTGAACCTACAAGG